CAGGAATGATTCCTCCTAAGCCATTAATGAGAAGAGATCAGATGGAAGGGTCACCAAACAGTTCTGAGTCATTTGAGCATATAGCTCGATCCACAAGAGATCACGCGGTTTCCCTTTCTGAGCCTCGGGTGATGTGGGGGTCAGATCCCTATCCACATGCTGAGCCTCCACAGGCAACAACTCCGAAGGCAACAGAAGAGTCTGAGGATGTAAGGTAATAAATTATTTAAATTATTAATGGACTAAACAGAATGTTGTGGTAAAAAGAAAACTGTATAATGTCCCTGAAGATCATTCCAATTTAGGAATGAGCCATAAACCTGTTTTTCTTCTATTTAACATGCTTCATTTTATCTTTGAATGTATTTTTTTCCCTGGCATTTCAGTATTGATTAGGGCATATTGTAACCAGATTCTGAGCACTAAATTAGGTGCTGTAATGAAACATTAGATGTTAAAAATGGCAGGTTTTTACTGTAGATGAGACATGAAGAAATTTAAAAGTATCTACCATGCTTGTGTAGTCTGGCTAAAGTGTTGATACAATTCTTCCACTGGTGAGATGTTTGTCTAACAGTAACTTAGGGAAATTTCTAAGACCAAGATAAGAAGTACTAATTTGCAAAGTTACTTTGAAGTGGTAGACAATTGGTGTTGAGTATAATAATTTAGATCCACATAGATAGAACTTCTGCCCTTTAACAGCGTATATTTTTTGATAATGTTTTATACTTATTTGTAATTAATTGGGACAGATAGACTTTCTCTAGTTTACTCTTTCATTCTAGATCAAAATTATCAGTCTTGCTGGATTAGAAATTCACATCAGCGTGGTCTAAACTTTGTTTTTTCTTAAGGAATGACCTTCATTGATTTCTAATTGTGGCAAAAAACACATAACATTAGTTCTACCTTCTTAACAAAATTTGAATTGTACGGTACAATATTGTTAACTATAAGCACAATGTACAACAGATCTGTAAAGCTTTTTCATCTTACATAACTGAAACTTTATTTGAATGGAAGAGCAACTCCCCTTTCTCCCTACTCCTAGCCCCTGGTAACCACCATTCTACTTTCTGCTTTTATGAGTTGGATTACTTTAGGTTCCTCATATAAGTGGAGACATGCAGTATTTGTCCTGACTGGTTCATTCCACTTAGCTAATGTCCTTAAGGTTTATCAGTGTTGTAGTATATGACAATATTTCCTTTTTTTTTTTATCCCTGAGTAATATTCCATTGTACGTATACACTACATTTTCTTTATTCATTCAGATGTTGGTCAGTATTTAGGTTTTTTCCACCTTTTGGCTATCATAAACAATTCTTTACTAAACTTTTTATGGAGAGATAAAGATGCTCTTTATAATTAAAATTGGATTATTTTGGTGTGTTCTTATATGTGGGTAAGATTGCTTTGTTGGTTATACCTTTGAATTCTCATCACCATAGGTCTGAAGCTGCATTGGACCAGGAACAGATTGCTGCTACTTATCCTGTAGAACATATAGAACATAGTCAGTTGGAGGCTCATCCAAAAACGGACTTTGTCAGAGAATCAAGTGAGACAGAAGTACAAAAATTTTTAAGCAGATCTGTGGAAGACATTAGACCTCATCATACTGAGTCAAATAATCAGTCTGCTTGTTTTGAAGTAACTGATCAAAAGACCTTATCTGTGCCTCAAGAAGAGCGGATTTCCGCTGTAGAAAGTCAGCCTGCCAGGAAAAGGAGTGTTTCCCATGGATCTAACCATACTCAGAAATCAGAGGAGCAAAGAAATGAGCCGTCTGCAAGCATTCCTAAAGTAACCAGCAGATGCATTGATTCAAAAGAACCAGCAGAAAGACCAGAGGAAAAACCAAAAAAGGAAGGCTTTATACGATCTTCTGAAGGACCAAAACCTGAAAAAGTGTATAAATCCAAATCAGAAACTCGTTGGGGCCCACGGCCAAGCTCCAACAGAAGAGAAGAGGGTAATGATAGACCTTTGAGAAGATCAGGTCCCATTAAAAAGCCCGTACTTAGAGACATGAAAGAGGAACGGGAGCAAAGGAAGGAGAAAGAAGGAGAAAAGGTTGAGAAGGTCACTGAAAAAGTTGTAAAACCTGAAAAGATGGAAAAGAAGGATCTTCTTCCACCCCCACCACCTCCAGCACCGATTCAGCCACAGTCTGTTCCATCACCAATTCAACCAGAACCAGAGAAATTTCCTTCAACAGAAACTTCAACTTTGGCCCCCAAAGCATCTCAAGATACTGAGAAGTCTCTGGAACCTATAAGTAGTGTTCAGGTAGAGCCTGCAGTTAAAACTGTAAACCAGCCAACTGTTGCAGCACCAATAGTCAAAGAAGAAAAACAGCCTGAAAAAGTCATCAGCAAAGACTTTGTTATAGAGAAGCCTCGACCAGATTCAAGGCCAGCAATTAAAAAAGAATCAACTTTACCTCCTAGGACCTATTGGAAAGAAGGTAGAGATAGAGATTGGTTTCCAGATCAAGGATACAGAGGTCGAGGCCGAGGTGAATATTATTCCAGAGGTCGAAGCTATAGAGGTTCTTATGGAGGGCGTGGGAGGGGTGGTAGAGGGCACACTCGAGATTATCCTCAGTATAGAGACAATAAGCCAAGAACAGAACACGTACCCTCAGGACCTCTCAGACAGCGAGAAGAAAGTGAAACACGAAGTGAGAGCTCTGATTTTGAAGTCGTCCCTAAAAGAAGACGACAGCGGGGTTCAGAGACTGACACAGACAGTGAAATTCATGAAAGTGCAAGTGACAAGGATAGTTTAAGTAAAGGCAAACTTCCCAAAAGAGAGGACCGGTCTGAAAACAAAAAACCTATAAAGCCGCAGACTTTCAAGCCTGATAATCATGTCCGAATAGATAATAGACCACTAGAAAAACCTTATGTGAGGGATGATGATAAGTCTAAGCCAGGCTTCCTTCCTAAAGGAGAGCCTACAAGGAGAGGCAGAGGAGGAACATTCAGACGTGGTGGAAGGGATCCTGGAGGTCGTCCATCACGTCCTTCCACTTTACGGAGACCTGCTTACCGGGACAATCAGTGGAACCCAAGGCAGACAGAAGCCCCTAAACCAGAAGATGGAGAGCCACCAAGAAGACATGAGCAGTTTATTCCTATACCAGCAGATAAACGACCTCCAAAATTTGAGCGAAAATTTGACCCAGCCAGAGAGAGGCCCCGGAGACAGCGTCCTACCCGACCACCAAGGCAAGATAAGCCTCCTCGATTTAGAAGGCTAAGAGAGAGGGAGGCTGCTTCAAAAACAAATGAGGTGGCAGTACCCACAAATGGCACGGTTAATAATGTGGTTCAAGAACCTATTAATACTGTTGCAGATATTTCTGGGAATAAGACACCAGACTTATCTAATCAGAACTCTTCAGATCAGGCAAACGAAGAATGGGAAACAGCTTCCGAAAGCAGTGATTTCAATGAGAGGCGGGAGAGGGATGAAAAAAAAAATGCCGATTTGAATGCACCAACGGCTGTAAAGGCTGGAGAGAATGTTTTACCTCCAAAGAGGGAAATAGCAAAGAGAAGTTTTTCTAGTCAGAGACCAGTAGATCGCCAGAATCGACGTGGCAACAATGGTCCACCCAAATCAGGAAGGAATTTCTCAGGTCCTAGAAATGAAAGGAGAAGTGGCCCACCATCAAAAAGTGGGAAGAGAGGGTGAGTACTTGTTTTAGATATAATTACTTCTGCATCTTGAAAGATGCTGAAAGTAGATTTCTTGGTTGAATTATGCAAGGAGCCAGTGTAGATAAAGGGCCAAGACATTGTTCTTCCCAAATGCTTTTCTGTTTTAAAAGTGTAAGGATGCTTGAGGAAGAAAGGTTAAAGGTGTCTCAGGAGTCTTCACCTGCTAAGTTACATTTTCCAAAAGAGTTCTCTTGGTAATTTGTAGCTTTGGGAAAATCTGCGCACCTAGGGAGGGATACGTACAATGTCCTCATTTAGTGAGTCATGGTATTGTTGATGAGTAGCCCTCTTTTCTTCCTTAATTTCTGCTTGAAAAACTGGTGGTGTATAGCTGTCCTCTGAGACATTATTATGTTGTAACCATATACCTTGTCACTCTGTACTGGTTTCTTGAGACTCAGTGTTCAACCTTAATGAAAAATTATATTTCCATCTCAATTTGTGAACCTACAATAAATAAACCATCTAGAGAGAGGCCCAGAAAACAAAGCCCTGCCCAAACACCAAGGCCACAGGTAACATAATTGGCATGACAATGGATTTTTTTAAAAAAGAATTTTTCTAAATTATTCTGAATTTGGCCTATTCTTTTAAATATTAAAGTGTTGGTTATAGTAACTTAGTATTGGTTTCTTTAGTATTAGAAAGCATTATAAAGTAGCAGTTAAGATTCAGAACATTCTAGTTGTTTCTTTACTTCCCCACCAGTAAAAGAAGGAGAAAACAATAGCACTTAATGTGAAGATACCGAGATGATAAGTGGTAATGATACATGTAATGTAACACCTGGCATATAGTAAGCAACTGTTATGCCCTGTTTTTAACCCAATTCCCAGGTTTGCAGTCTTAGCCGATAAGAATTTGTTTGGACAATATGGTGTTAATCTGAGTTCCTTAGTGACATATACTTTGCATTTCAGGTTGCTACCCTGGTAAAGTGTCTTTGTCTGTTTTCTGTTGATATAACTGAATACGTGAAACTGAGTAACTTATAAAGAGAAGAAATTTATTTCTTACAGTTCAGTGGGCTGGGAAGTCCAGGGTTGACAGTCTGCCTCTGGTGAGTGCCCTCTTGCTTGTGGGGACTCTGAAGAGTTCCAAAGTGGCACAGCCATCACTTGAGCCGAGGAGTTTGTGGCTGCAGTAAGCTATGACTGTACCACTGCACT